CGCCACCTGCCGGGCACAGCGGGAACTGCGGGCGGCTCGGGGCGGGGGGGGAATTTGGGGGTGCTGGGCTTTATCCCAACCGCGGAGGGTTTTTTGGGGGGAAAAAGGGGAAAATAAGATGGCTGTGGGGTTTTTTTACCTACCGAGGAAAGGTTTTTTTAAAAAAAAAAAGGATTTTTTTTGCCTGGGGAGGGGACACACACACGCGTTCCGCGGGGGCACCCATGGGTGCTGCACCCCACTTTCCTACCTGCCCGATAGCGAACCCCATCTTGGCCTCACCCCCTCCCCAGGGGACAGTTTTCCTACACTGGGGACACCCCCATTGCGGTCAGCCCTGGTGCTCCCTCCTTCCCGCCCCCAGTACACCGCGGGGGCTGCTTTTGGGGTGACGTGGTCCCCAGGATGGTGTCCCCCATTCCGGCTGTTTGTCCATGCATCATCCCTGGGTTGAGGGTTTCTTCCTCCCACCAGAGTCTTCATCACAGCCGGCATCATCGGGTGACGGCCCCGGCGATGGCCGATGGGTGGTGGGTGTCCCTGTCCCCCCCCAGCTGCACCCACCCTCACCCCATCCCTGTCACCCCCCCCAGGCGAAGGACGAGACCACGCTGGCTTCGTTCTGACACGGGTGACCTTTAATGACAAGGAGCCCCCAAAGGGACTGAAATTCCCCTCCCCTCCCTTCCCCAAATATCATCATCATCCCAATTATAACATCGCCCCCCCCCACTCCCCCGCCCCTTCCCCGGATGGACAGACGGACGTGGGACGGCAACATCCCCGTCACTCACCGTGGGGGTTGTCACCTCTCCCGTGGGGACAACTGGGTGCCCAGGTCTGCGAGCACCAGCCTCGCCTGGACCCTGGGGTGAAAGCAGGAAAATGGGGGGGAAAAAGGGAAAATGGGGGAGGTTGGTCCAGGAAAAACTCATTTTTAGGGTCCTGACCACCCCAATTTAGGGGCGGGGGGGACATCCCTGGTGTCAGGCTGGGGAATACGAAGAAGATGCTTGTTCTCATCCAGAAGATGCTTTGAACGTTGCTCGTGGCTTCATCCCACTCCCCAGGCTGTGAAATCCCACGGGAATCACAGAGATGGGTGGGGGACACCCCAATTTCCCCCCCCCATCAGCTCCCCCCTCCACCAGTATCCCCCAGCTCCATCAGTGGGGTCGAGCTCTGCCTCGGGGCGACGAACCGGGAAGGTTTTAATCCCGCAGTGACGTGATGATGCGCCTGACCCCCCCCTGACCCCCCCCAAATAAATAAGGATGTTTATATATATATAATATATATATATTTAAAACAAACGAACAAACAAACAGAGCTATCTGGGTGCTGGCGATGGAGCGAGCGGGTTAGCGGGAGGCCCGGGGCGGGGGGGACACCGCGGGCGTATTGTCCCTGGGGTGGTCCCGCGGTGTGGCCGGGGGTCCCGGGGGAAAGGGGGGTGACAGCGCCGTGACACCCCCCCCTCCACCCCAAAGCAGGCACACACAAAAACCGGAGAGCGAGGCAGGTTCCTGGCTGTAGGGCATCCTCCGGCCGGTCCCCAGGGATGCTCGTTAACGCCTTCCTCCTTCGTTAGCGCCTTCCCAAGCGAACGCATCCCCCCTCCCCATCTTCTCCGCGCCCCGAAAGCGGTGTGTGTGTTGGGTCCCCCCCCCAGTCCGGTGCGATGGCCGGGGGGACGGCGGAGGGACCGGGGCTCATCCCCCCCAACCCCGAGCACACAGAGAGCAGCCGGGTTGGAGATGAGAGGCGCTGGGGTGGGGGGTGACGGGGAGGGGGGAGGGTGTCAGGACCCCCCCCCTCTGCAAATAGGGGGGCCAGCACCCCCCTTTCCTCGCCGGGATGGCCCCGGGGGGGGCCACGGCCGTTCACGCTCTCCAGAGAAGGAGGTGGTTGGTGCTGTCGTCCCGGCCCACCGTCTCGCTGCTGCTGGTCAAGCGGAAATCCTCGTAGCCGTCCCCCCCGCTGATCACCAGCATCTTGGGTTTGGAGAGGGTGAGGGCGGGGGCGCGGGGCCGCGACGGGTCTCGCTTCTCTGCCTCGCTCGCCTTCTCGGCCCCTGCCAAGTGCAGAACCCCAGCACGCTGTCAGATCACCCCCCCTGGGCTCCCCTGTTCCCCAGCAGCATCCCAGCAGCATACCGGTGTCCTCCCACCAGCATCATCCCGGTGTCCTCCCACCAGCATCCCACCAGCATCATTCCAGCATCATCCCACCAGTGTCATCCCAGCATCATCCCAGCATCATCTCACCACCAGCATCATCCCAGCATCACCCCACCAGCATCATCCCAGCACCAGCAGCATCTCACCAGCATCCTCCCACCAGCACTATCCCAGCATCCTCCCACCAGCATCCTCCCACCATCACCACCACTTTCCCAGGTGCCACATTTTGACCCCCCAAAACTCCCCTCCCATCCCCAAATAGCCCCTCCCACCCACATTAGCCACTCCCACCCCCAAATTACTATCTCCTCCCCTCCCAAATCACCTCCTCCCCATCCCACCCCAACTTTGGGGCCAGTTTGGCCAAGACTCAGCACATGGCTTTCCATTGGCTTTTCCCCCTGGGAATTAGTGTCTCCCAGGGAAATTTGGGGTCACTCAAGCAATCCCCCAAGCCTTGGAGGAGGGGGTAGCACCCAATTTCCCCCCACCTTAATTTTAACATGGCAAGGATGGAGCAGGGACTCCGGTGACCGCATTTCAAGGCTATTCCCAGTTATCTGCCAGCGGGATGGCATTCCCAGCCCCGTAAAAAAACATCCACTCCTCCTGGAACGGGTCAGGATCGTCGTGTTCCCCCCCCCCCATCATCCCACCTACCCATCTCCCTCGGCAATGGGAAGAGGACGTCGAAACCGTCGGGCAGCTCGATGGCGGTGAGGAAGCGGACGTGGCCGGTGTGACCCTGGGAGAGCCCCACCAACGCCGGGGCCGCCTTGGCCGAGACGGCGAGGGTCAGCACGACGCCGGCGCTGGTCCCGATCCACAGCAAGTCCTTGCACACCAGGAGAGCCGTGATCCGCAGGCAGGCTGCCTTGTGCTGCCGGATAATGGCATCCGAGCCTGTCGAGCATCCCCGCCGTCAGCTTTTTACCCTGATTGGCACGGGGTTGTGAACCCCGCCGATGCCACCAGTCTCCATTCCCGGGGCTGCCTGTGGCACATGGGACACGGGGAAGGGACCCCACAACCCCCCTGGCTGGTATAAGGCGCCCCGGGGTGCTGTCAGATCGGGCTGCCTCGTTATGGGATTATGCAGATACCCAGAGGCTGCCCTATTTCTGCATGGGATTATGAAGATGCCCAGGGGCTGCCCTATTTCCATGTGGGATTATGAAGATGCCCAGGGGCTGCCCTATTTCCATGTGGGATTATGCAGCCGCCCAGGGGCTGCCCCATTCCTGCGTGGGATTATGAAGCCATTCATGGGATTCCCTATTACCCTGTTGGATTATGCTGATGCCCAGGGGTTGCCTTGTTTCTGCATGGGATTATAGACATGCCCAGGGGTGCCTTATTCCTGCGGGGGATTATGAAGCCACCCGGGGGATGCCCTAGCACCCTGAGGGATTATGCTGATGCCCAGGTGCTGCCCAATTTCTGTGTGGGATTACGCAGCCACTTGGGATTCCCTGTTTTTCCATGGGATTATCCATCTGCCCAGGGGCTGCCCTATTACCCCGTGGGGTTATGCAGCTGCCTAACACCGAGGATGAACCCCATGAGCGCGACAAATCAGTTTCCTTCCCCGAAGCTGGCCGGGATGCAGGAGATATTAAATATCCCGGCGCTGATGCTGCAGGACATCTCATTTTCAAGGTGGACGATGGGCACGGGTACCCACTGGAGACAGCGATGGGCACCCACCGGTGACCTGCCACCGGTGGGACTTACCGGCAAGCATCTTGTGTACCGGGGGGGTGATATCAGCTTCAGCCAACTGCTCGTAGCTGGTGGCATGGTAAAGCCGGACCTGGGCGCTGCTCTGCAGCGCGACCCACACGCCGGTCCCCGCGCTCACCATGCAGGTGACGCTGCGCCCACTGTCCTGTCCCACCTGGAGCGTGTGCTGTGGGTGACAGAGACATAGAGATGCCACCAGTGATGCCACCGATGCCCATCGCTGTCCCCCCCCGACCTCCTGCCATCGCCCGCGGTACCTCTTGCGCCAACGTGGTGGTGTTGAGGATGATGACTCGGTTTTGGCAGCCGCACCAGAGCTTCCCCGCCACCGCCACCATCTTGGTGATGGGGCTCCCCGGCGAGCCCAGGGACAGGGACTTGGAGTTTTGGGGGTCCCAGAAGCGGCCTGTGAGGGTGGTGGGAGTGGGGCGGGTCGTTAAGGCATCCCCCAAAAAAACCCGGCTGAAGGGATGCAGTGGCTGGACATGCCCGTCTTCAGGTCCCCCGTTAGACGGGAGATGAGCTGATGTCCCCAAGGGATGCCAGCGGCAGGCAGGGACCAGGAGGAGGATGCACACCTCCACCCGGCTCCGATTTTGGGGTCTCCAGCATCCCTCGAGGGACGTCCCTTCCATTCCCGTGGAGGCAGGGTAGTCACCAGCATCCCTCCCTTGGGGGCTGCCCAAACCACCCACCCAACAGCCACCACTTTGGGGCTGCATTTAACCCTGCCAGTGCCTTTTGATGTCCCCGATCCGGCCTCACCTGCCTCCCGCTGGTAGACAACAAGCTCCCCGTTGGCCAACGACACAAAAACCTGGTTATCCAGGTACCTGCGGGGAGAAAAACCCTTTGACAACCGGCTGCAGAGCCCTGCTCAGCCACCCCAAACCACCCTGCTAGGGACATCGCAGAGCTGAAAATCCCCCTTCACACTTACAAGATGCACATGACAGCAGCAGCGTGTTGCATCTTCATGCTGTTCTTCCTGTTACGGATGTTGTCCGAGGACTGGTACACATGGATGCTGGGGGAGAAGAGCAAAGCTTGAGGCTCGCCTGGGATGGGGGTCCACCCCACGTATGTGTCCCCCCATCCTGGGGACGTACCAGCCATCCTCGGTGCCCAACCACATGGAGCTCTGATGGGCTTCAGGGTCAAGGCTGAGGAGGTCCTCGAGGCTGCCCCGGGTGAAGGAGCCGCGGCTGGAGCGGCGCAGGGCTCGCCCGTCAGTGGGGCTCTCGCCGTGCCGGTTTTGGCTGTAGGTGCCGGTGATGGGCATGAAGCCGGGTTCTTGCTCTTCCTCTGAGCTCGTCGTCTCTGCCGTTGCCTCCTTGCAGCTTGAGATCTCTTCGTCTGCGGAGGAGGAGGAGGAGGAGGAAGGAATGGGTCAGACCAGGACCACCCGACACCCACCAAAGTGATGGGGAAGAGACCATGGGTCCCCTTGCGATGCCAAGCCCGGGGGAGGATATAGGGACGCTGAGCCCCTAAACCCACCAGGTTTCACCCAAAGCCGCCAGCCCCATCCCAGCACCATGGTGTTGGGCTGATGCCCCCCAACATCTCTTTTCCCAGGACTTCCTTGCCTCAAAAGCCTCCACCTGCAGATTCCCCCAAGGAATGCAAGGCAGAGCAGCCAAAACAACGGAGCTGCATGTCATTTGGGGGCAAAAAAGTGTTTTTTTCGCTAAGCAGGGGCAGGGGAGGACTCACTGCCGAAGCTGGAGGAGATGGTGGAGTGGCTGGCTTGGCTCTGCAGCGTCCCCGAGGGACTGGGCGAGGACTCGTCATCCGTGTCATCGCTATCAAAGGGCACCAGCTCCCTGTTGCTGCCGTCGACGGGCTCCGAGAGCTCCAGCGACGAACCCGAGATGGAGATGTGCAGGCACGGCTGCGGCCCCGCATCCTCCGGCTGCGCCGGCATCGGCTCCGAGGGGGGGCTGCCCACCGGCTCGGCACGCTCCCTGCCGCGACGAGGGGAGGGGGGAAAGAAGCAGCTCCAGCATCGCCCCGTGCCCGCCGGCTTCGCGGTGCCGGTGGGAATGTCCTACCTATATGCCCGCTTGAGACCGGGCACGGAGGCGATGCAGAGGATCCTGGCAGAGCAGACGGCGATGCACGCCTCCACCGTGGGCTCCTTACGGATGCTGAGCAAACAAACCTGCCCCACGTAACCATCGCTGTTGCAAACCCAAACCTCGTGGGAGCTTTCCGGGCTGCCGTGGCTGGGAGAAGCACAAGAAAACTGCAAGGGAGCAAAAGATGGGAAGAGTTGGGTCATTCGGGAATGACGCAGGAGCTCTCGGCATCCAGCGGTAAGCCCACCGGGATGGAGAGGACCACAGCTCCTGTGGGATGCTTGAACCCAGCCTCCAAGCACCTGCATCCCGCTCCGTGTCTTCATGATGGGGATGGCCTTGAGGAACTCCGGGTCCAGGCAGTTTTTGCTGGAAGCTGGGAAAATCAAATTGGAAGATGAAGTGATGGAGGAAAGGGGTCTACCAAAGCAGGGTTGTGATGCTGAGCCCACCACCCGCATCCACCTCCCCGCTCCCTGATGTTACCCAGCTTTTTCTTGGCGTCCTCGAAGGCTTGCTCAAAGCCGAGCCGGGCGTCGGGGTTGGGAAACTCAAAGATGAAGGACTCGGTGCCGTCGGCTTTGGTAGTGCTGAGCTCTACCTTGTTGGGGGGGAAGGCCATGCTGAAGGACAGGGATTGCTTCTCCGCCAGCTCCCGGTGGATGGCGGCCATCAGGTCCTTGATCACGTCGTCCAGGCTCTGGGGACGGGGACAACGCTTCAGCTCTTGGGGACAGGCCACCACCAGCCATGGGCATGATGATGCTCCCATCCATCTCCAAGCATCCTTCAGAGGCTGCCCCAACCCCATTGTGGCTTTGGGGCTGGTGGCATCTGGGCCCTTAGAGGATTCTCATGGCCACCAGCCCTTCCACGGGTTCCCCCTCCCACTGAGGACACCCCGGTCGGTCCTACGGGGAATGTGTCCGGCCAGGGGACAGCATCAGGGCCATCATCCCCATACCTGGTGGGGGAAGCTGAGGGTCTCCGACAGCTTGCTGACTTGCCCCAATGTGCTGAGGTCTTCATCCAGGCGGCAGATGCTTTTCTGGATGCTCTCCCGGTTGGTGGCTTGAGAGGCACCTGTGTGGGGATAGGTGGGTGGCATTAACCCCTTCCTGCCCAGCACAGTGCAGGGGAACCTTCTCCCCACCAGCCAGGGGTGAACGATGGCTTTTGGGGTGGTGTGGGATGGGACACTCCAGCAGGCAGTGACAGACCTTTGACGATGTCCACGTCCTCCAGTGGCAGCTTCCAGAGCAGTTTGTACTTGCTGGCGGTGTCAATCACGCTGGCCGCCGTATACCTGTCAGGTTGGGGGGGGATGGCTGGGCTGCACCCATGGCCCCAGCACCCTAAAGCCAGCCCAGCCAGCGAGGACATCCCTAACGCCATGGGTTAATCCTGGTGGGTGCCCCCCAGGTGGTACTCACAGGCTCATGGAGCTGCGGCGGAGGGAGCCCGACTTGCGCTTCAACGTGGTGCACACCAGCAGGTCCGTGAAGAGGAAGAAGGAACGGTCCTTCTTCCCACCCACCGCCTTCTGCGGAGTGGTGGGAGACACCAAGGGGTTAACGTCCGGCCCCCCAGCTGCCGGCACTGGGAGCGGTCCCTGCCTCAGTTTCCCCACGCACGGCCTTGGCATAGGAAGGCTGCGGGGTGGGATGGATCCTCGCAAGGGTGGAAGGGGATATGGGTGCCATGGCCGTGCAGGCAAAGCCATGGGGTCCCACTCTCAGGGAAGCACCAGGGCCGTGGGAACATCAGGCATGGGCTCATCAGGACCCCCGCGGTCTCCACCTGGCCTGGGGCTGCTGTGCAATCTCCCTGCCTCCTGCCTGCTCCCAAACCCATCTTATCTTCCCCTGCACTTGGGGAATTTTATATTGTCCCCATCGATCTGTCATTGATCCATCCATTCATCCATTCTTCCATCCAACCCTTCATCCATCCTTCCATGCACCTTCCATCTGTCTGTTTTTTCCATCCATCCATCCATCCATCCTTCTGTCCACCAATCCATCCATCTGTCCAACCTTCCATCCATCCATCCATCCTTCCATCCTTATAGAATCATAGACTATCTCGAGTTGGAAGGGACCCATAAGGATCATCGAGTCCAACTCCCTGCTCCTTGCAGGACTACCTAATACTAAACTATATGGCTAAGAGCATCGTCCAGACACCCCTTGAACTCTGACAGCCGTGGTGCCCTGACCACTTCCCTGGGGACCCTGTTCCAGGCACCAACCACCCTCTCCGTGAAGAACCTTTTCCTAACATCCAATCTGAACTTCCCTGGATGCAGCTTCCAGCCAGCCATCTGTAGCCTTCCATGGGCACACAGGCATCCCACGACCCGCAATCACAGCCTCCCACTGCCCCATCTGGTGTGCGGTCCCATGGCCCTGATGGTGACAAGGGACCACCCCGCTCTTACCACTTCCACGACCATCTCCTGGCGCAGGAACCTACGGAGCGGGGCCTGGAGCTGTGGGGACAAGGAGGCTTGTGAGCGGGGAGCCCCGGTGGGGGGGCATTGTCCCTGTCCCTGCGGCCCCCCGGCTCAGAACTGGCACCCCAGCCCCTTCCCAAACTCCCAGGAGCCCACCAAGGCCAAGTGATGATGGGGAAAGCAGGACCCAGAGGAGAAAACAAAGGGCACAGCCTAGGGTGACTCAGAAAGAGCAGAAATGGTGCCAATTTGGGAGGAAGGAAAGACCGACCCCGTGTAAGATCCCTGTACGTACGTCCTCCATCCCTTCGATGTGGGACTCAATCTCCTGCACGATCCGGGCGTTCCTCTCCACCTCCTCCGCACTCTTCATGCCCTTGTTGATCCTCTCAGCCACTTGCTTGATGTTGCGCTGGGCGTCGATGAGGAAAGGGTGGTCGGGGTGGTCCTCTGGCGTGTGCTTCAGCAGGTCCTACCACGGGGACACAGTCGGGATGTCACCACAGGTGAAGCCTGGGCATCGGCCGTGCCGTGACACCCCCCAAGCGAAAGCCCCTACTGCGCTGCTCTGGCTTCTGGGGATGGAAACCAGCCCCGTGCAGGAAAGGTTTTGCAAAGAGACCAAGCCTTGAGCTTTGGCCACCGCCAGCCTGGTCTTTGCCACCTCTAAAGAAGCCACCAGCTCCCGAGAGCACATCATCACCTTGCACGGACTCCCGAAATTCATCACCTGAAGTGTTCAAGGTGAGGTTGGATGGGGCTTTGAGCAACCTGATCTAGTGGAAGATGTCCCTGCTCGTGGCAGGAGGGTTGCACTAGATGACCTTTGAAGGTCCCTTCCAACCCAAACCATCCTGTGATTCTACAAAAGCGCATCCCCACCAGCCTCAGCGCCAGGGAGAGTGACCTTGGCACAGGGAAACTGAGGCACAGAAGGGGTGGCAGCATGACCGGTCCCAAAATGGCACCGCAATGTCCAACCTCCCAGCAGAAAGGTAGAGGGGAAGGGGACTGCAAACCCGTAGGGACATGCTGGGGGGGTCAGCGGGGTGACAGTCCTCAGGGTGATCATCCCCAGGAGGGCAGAGCCACGTGCACGCCTGGGGACACCAGCTTTGTGTCAAGGGATGGGAGAAGGGGCCAGGAGAGACGTGGGACCCCTAAAAGCTCCCATCCCGTGGAGGTGAGGAGGCACCATGGTCTCACCCGCTGCCTGCACGGCACAGATGGCCTCCTGCCTGCACCTGGCTGCCCGCACCCACCTTCACCAGCAGCTCGTATCGTGGGATCCTCTGCACCGGCTTGATCATCAGGTCGGACAGAGCCTGCTTCTCCTTGTTCTCCCGCATGCTTTGCTGCAAAACACCGGTGGGGGACAAGGATGGCCCCATTAGGTGGGACACAGCAGGGACCCAGCACCCCACCAGCCCATGGACCTGGAGCAACACCCGTTTAGGGTTGGGGTGACTCCTTTTTACACCATCCGGAGTGACTCTGGTTCACCCCAACCTAGCCTCTTTGCAATAAAACCAAGAAGAAGGGGGGGGGGCGAAAAATCCCATTCTGACCATAGGTTACCAGTTTACTCCCATTAACCCCACCCTGCCCCACCAGCAGCTTTGCAAGTGACTCTGGACCTTGGCCAGCATCTATGGGGAGGGAGGAACCAGGACCCACCTCCAGGAACTTCATGAACGCCGGCCGGGCTTCCTTGGCGATCCTGACAGCATCCTTGGCGTTGAGGAAGTTATCGATGTAGGCGGAGTAGATGTTCACCAGCACATCCTTGGAGAACTGGAAGGGGGGGAAAAGGGGATAGGTCCAGCATGGACCTCCTGGGCACGCCTGAGAGAAGCTGCCCCAAGGGTTAATCCTGGCTCTGGGCTGGCATGGGGAGGGCTCACCCGCCGCCCGCCCCCTTCGATTTTTCAGCCCTGACATTTCTGCTCCCGAGGCAGAAACGCCGAGCTGCAGACCCAGCTGGTCGCCGCAACGCCCCGCCGTTACGCTAAGCAGACCGCGGGCCTGGAGATCGTCTCCTGTTCTCCATCGCAGGCGCGTTTGGCCTGTCCCTTAATCACTCCCTTGCCTCCTGCTCCGAAATTTCTCCCGATGGGGCCGTGCCGGAGAGCGGGCATGCCTGGGTTCCCCCGGGGGGGAAATCCACCCCGGTAGTGAGGACCTACCGACTGCACGAGGAGGTCGCCCACTTTCTGCTTCTCATGCCAGTTCTGCACACAGTCGTGGATCTGCTCCAGGAACTGCTCGTGGTGCTCCAGCAGCTCAGGGATCTGGTCGAAGATCTCGTCCACCAGCGACGGGTCGCACAGCAGCGAGTTCTCCGGCTGCTTCAGCGGCTTCATGTAACCCTGCAGGGAAGCAAAGGCATCGGAGACCCCATAGATTTCTTTTCCCACCCCCTCCCAGTATGAATTTTTCAACCCGTGTAAATACGGGGATCGGTGGCATCCTGCAGCAGGGGGTTCCCCTGGTGAACGTTGGGTTGTGGGACCCACCAGAAGGACCAGACAGTGCTGGGTCCCAGCAGGTTTTGGACCCCAGCCTCCCTGAGTCCCATCCCACCCAGTGCATCCCCATGGCAGTGTGGGGAGTGGAACGGGTCTGCACGAGGAACCCCCAAAGCACGGCGTCCTCTGTCCCCCAGCCACAGCCTTGAGAGGCTCCAAAGCTTTGCTGTCATGAGCCTTGGCCACCTCCATCTGGTACAGAGCCTGACCTAGCTGAAAAACCATGGCAGCACGACACTGGGATCCAAAAGCTGGTACGTTCCTGGTGGGATTTAGGGTGTTTGGGATGGGGAGGGGCTGGAGTCAGCAGGGTGGATGCACTGGATCAAGTCCTGGACCACTTCGCCCAGCAGCCTCTCTTGGGCAATGGCCGACGAGTGATGCTCAGGGCCAGGAGGAAAAGCAGGTCCTCTGCAAGGCTGGGTGGGTGGCTCTGCCATGAAATCCCTTTCCTCCCACTGTGGGGCAGAGTTGCGGAGAGGAGCTGTGCTCCTGGGAATGGGAAAGCTGGATTTGCAAGGGATGCAGGATGAGGAAGGTCTTCTTAAGCCTTGCCGCCTCCTCAGTCTGACTGGTATGGGGTGCTGGCGTCCTTCAGGATGTTGGGAGGACCATGGAGCAGTGAGGACAGGACCCACCTCGAGCAGCTTCGGACATCTCCATCCAAGCTGGCGAAGGAGGAGTCATCCGCCAAGGATGAGGTTCCTCAAGCTGATGATGGGTAGCTCGTGGAGACCCAAGTTAGAAGGGCTAAATCCTTCTTGAAGCTCCTAACCCACTTCATTTGTGCTACGGTGGCCAACACCTCCAGCAGGAGCTGGGCTGGGCTGTGCCATGCATCCCACCCACCACAAAACTGGGGGAGCAAGGACCAGATGGGGAAGAAGAGCACAGAGACAGCCCCCGCCTTGGCATAGAGGGAGAGCAGGCAGGGCTTGCCCATGCACCATCTGGCTTGGCTGGAAGATGATGCTCCAAGGTGGTCCTTCTCCCACCATGCTCTGTGCCACCGGGCCACGTCACGGATCCAAGCACCTTGTCACTGCTCAGATGGGGACCTGGGGGCACCTAGAGCCCTGTGACCAGCCCCCCAGAAAACCATGTCCCCTAGGTTGCACTGTGCCAAGACACGTCCCATGGACAAGAGCTCAGGCACTAACACCCCGTGGCTCCCATCTGTGTCCAACCAGTCCCTCCAGTGAGGAACCAGTGAGCCCTAGCATGGCTGTCCTCTTCAACCAGCCTCCAGTCCCACCTCAGAGGAGGGCACAGCCCATGGGACAGCCTCTGTCCATGCTGAGACCAGCAGGGACACCACCCGACCCCGAACTCCATTCGGCTTTCCCCAAAAGAAGTCCCAGAGCCAGGGTCCTCTCACCCCTCCAAGCCAACATCTGCACTAGGAGCAGCCTCGAATGGTCCCTCCCTCCTGCAGCAACATCTGGCAGAGCACATCTGGGCCCACCATGGGGGCATCTTTGCAGGGGATTTATGGGAAAAGCCTGGCTGGGTGTTGGGATGTTGGGTGCCCCATGCCCTCATGGACATGCCCAGCAGATGTCCTACAGGCACTGCAGAGCTCTGATTTTTTTGGCATTTCCACCTGCAGCGATGTGGTTGGACAACCCACACCTACACCATGTGACCTGGTCTCCAGGGCGTTGACCACCATTAACCTTCCGAAACACCTTCATTAACATCTGAAACGTGGGGTGGACCCTCCGGCCAGGCTGCTCCAGGGGGGTTATTGGAACCAGCTCAGTAAAAAAAGGACCAAGGAAAACCCTTGGCCCATGGCTGCAGGTGATGACGCTGAGCACAAAATGGGGGGACATGGGAACGGGGGGTGTAAGGGGTCCCCCATCATGGGATGGCCATCTGCAATGGCCCAGGAGATGGGGTGCAACATGAGGAAGAGCTTTTGGGGAGCAAGTGAGGGAAGGGGCTCGGGGAAACGATACCTGCCAGGTGACAACCCACCAGGAATATTATGGGCTTGATCTGGGGGGAGAGAAGTCACCCCCACAACCTGTTCTTGATGCTATTGCCATGCTGCTCCCACCTCCGGTCCCACTGTCCCCAACATCCCCACTGCCACCCGTCCCCAATCCACCCCCACGCCACATCGGTGCTGGTAGAGCACCCACAGCTGGGGGTCTGACTTGGGGTCCCGGGGATGGTGACAAGCAAGGGACGGTCACGCCGTGACATGGTTTGGGGTGTCACGTTCCTGGCTGTGCCGCGTTACCTGCATCAAGGTGCGCAAGGACTCCACGTAGGACTGTTCCGTGTCCAGCAGCGTCATGATGACGTGTTTCCTCATGTCCTGCCCGGGTGGAAAGAAAGACAAGATGAGTTTTAGGGTGACACGACGGAGGGGAGCTACGTGGCGGGTGTCGGTGTCGGTGCCGGCGCAGGGGCTTGCCGGGGAGGCTGAACGCCGGAGGAGCCCGGCTGGCGTCCAGCTCCCCTCCGCTCCCTCTCCACCCCGATGGAGGAATCCGGGAGGATTAGGAAGTACATGACACCGAGCGCACAGAGACGCCTGGTTTCCTCCGCGGCCGCGTCAGGAGCCCGCCCTGGATCTCACAGCCCTACATGGGTCGGTCCCGGAGCCCTCCGTCTCTCCGGCGGCTCCACTCGGAGCAGTCCCGTAGGAATTCGCCTCCCGCCCGGCACCCTGGGCACCCCGGCACTGGGCTGTGGCCCCGCAGGAGGGGGATTAATGGGGTGGTGGGGGGCACGGGGAGGTGGTGGGGTGGGATGGTCCGACAGCTTTGGGAAGCGGATGGGTTGGGGTCTTCTTGCTTGTGGGGCTCAAAGACCCCCCTCGCATGCAGCACCCTGGGGGACGTCCCTGCAGCTCAGCCTGGGGGTGAGATGCTCCAGAGCCCAGGGTGTGAGACACCCCAAAAGTTTTGGGTGCACGGATGCTCCAAAGGCCCTTTGTGCAGTGATACCCCAAAAGTTTTGGGTGTGGAAGTACTACAAAGGTGCTGGGTACAGTGACACCCCAAACGTTTTGGGTGCAGAGATGCTGCAAGGGCCTTGGGTGCAGAGACACCTCAAAAGTTTTGCACATGGAGGTGCTCCGAAAGCCCTGGGTGAAGAGATGCCCCACAAGTTTTGGGTGCAGAGATGCTCCAGAGACCTTGAGGGAAGAGATACCCCAAAAGTTTTGTGTGTGGATATGCTCCAGAGTCTCTGGGTGTGAGACACCCCAGAAGTTTTGGGTCTAGAAATGCTCCAAGGGCCCTGGGTTCAGAGATACCCCAAAAGTTTTGCATGCAGTGGTGCTCCAGTGACACTAGGTGCAGAGATACCCCAAAAGTTTTGCATGCATAGACTCTCCAGAGACCCTGGATGTGAGACACCCCAAACGTTTTGGGTGCTGAGACCCTCCACCAGCCCTACGAAAGGAGATGCTCCAAGGTGCTGGGTATGGAGACTGCAATGGTCCTGTTCATGGAGACTGTCCAAAGGTCCTTGGTGCAGAGACACCCCAAACTGTGGGTGCAGGGACACCCCAAAGATCCTGGATGCTCGGACACCCCTAAGACACATTTGGACACCCCAAACGCTGTGGGTGCAGGGATGCCCCAAAGGCCCCAAGGAAAAGGATCCTCCAAAGGTCCTGCGTGCAGAGATGTCTCACCTGACCACCACAGCACGCTGGGAGCAGGTTCCCCTGACCCACTGCCTCTATGGGGGGCTGCTGGAGCCACCGAACCTCTGTGTCCCCCATGTCCTTGTGGGATGAGCCCATGTCCCCCGGCCACGTGGGGCTGTCCCCCCCCCCACTGCTCCCAGTGGGGATACGTCTGCTGCGAAGCTGCTCTGCAACCACAGGACGAAGCTTTAGCCCAACCATCCTCACCATGGATGAAGGCCACCGTCTCCCCCAGGGAGCAATGGGGAGGGATCCTGGCCAGATCCTGCTCGGTGCTTGAGAACGAACCGTGCCTCAGTTTCCCCACTCTCCCACCAAGCTGCTACTGGCCTTTTCAGCCAAGCAAGGAGGAAACTGCTCTCTAGAGCCAAATATTACAGTGACGGGTCCAAGTCCCCCCAGGAAATATGCCCCCCCCCAAAAAACAGTGATGCTGGAGTCCTCGGGGACACTGGCTGAGACCTCCCCAATTCATTACAGCCTGAAGGTTTATTAACACTCTCACTGCCGGATTAATTTATTGTAATTATGGGCTGAAGGGCACCCGCCAGAGGATGGACTTTAGGGGTACAGAGCGCCTCCCCCCCCCCCCCCCTCCGCTCCCCAACCCTCGCACACCTTGTAGTTCCCTGCCTCAATATGATGCTCCCGGCATTTTCCGGAGCCATCCCAGCTCGGGACTGAAGCAAAAGGCCAGATCGGTGAGGCCAACAGGCTCAGCACCGGCAGCTGGAGATTTGCAGCAGTGGGGAGATGCAGCATGAGGCCCAACTGTTGGTAAGGGGATTTTTTCCACCAGTACAGCAGCGGTATTATTCTGGCGGGGGAAAATTCCTGCTGGGATAAGCAGGAGGTGGGGGTAACGCACCATCCTGGCAGGGCGAAGTGGTACCCAGGCACGAGCAGGATGCACCCCACTGCATCCCTTACCCCAGCAAAGCCTCTCCCCCGTGGGGCTGATGCTGCTTCGGTCTCCATCAGCAGATGGGGGACACCCCCGCCGCACCCCGGCCTCATCCTGCCTCTCCCGAGATGCTCAGCATCCTCGGGATCAGCCCCCGCCGCGATGGGAATTGGGGCATTTCTCCACCAGCCGACGCCTCCGCGGTGTAAATCAGCATGGGGGGGGGGGGCAGCGATGGCTCCAGCCCCCCCATCACCCTTTCCGCATGGGAGCATCCCCCCCTCCCCACGATCCAGCGAAGCCTGGGGGTGGCGAGCTGAGGATGAGGATGGAGACACCGTTGCCACGGCAATCGCGGTCCAGACCCCGCAGGTGCCGGGTTCTGCTGGGCGCACACGTGTCCAAACATGACGCATCCATGCACC